GGGCGGCGCCCTGGCGCTGTGTCGACTTTACAAATAGCAATTTTTCGCTTTTAGGGTTTATCTCAGCTGTCTTTGAGCCGTTTTTCAGAGAGTTTCGTGGCAGATTGAAGGGGAAGGCTCGGGCATTGGCAGAGGCATTGGGATCGATCAAGATCAACGTATTCGGGATAATTAGATCTTGATTCTGTGAGTTTTTCATTCCTGTTCCTAAGCATTAATTGTGTAAAATACTTAGAAGCTAGGGGGCTTTTGTTGAGACCTCTAGGGGATATTTTGGGGAGAGTTATTGTATCAAATCCTGAAATATATTAGTGAATTACCCACATCTGAGTGGAAGACTAGACGTAGCCCTTAGTGGTGAACCAGTATAATTTACTGTGTCGTATTATTGTTATTTACTGTTTTCTTCATATTTGCATATTATTGGTTGTGTTGGATATTTTCTGTGGAAGGAGAAATTATTTAAGTCAATCAATTTCCCAACAAGTGGTATGAGAGCTGTAGGGTTGCAGCATCATGGGAGACAAATATCACGTACACCATTACTATGAAGGGGTTCTAAAGTTCACCGGTGAGAATTTCAGTTTTTGGAAGATGTAGGTAAAGGATCTTCTTACATGCAAGAAGATACACAAGACTTTAGGAGAGAGACCAGCATGGATGGTATACAAGGATTGGAATGAGATGGATGAGTAGGCCGTTGCGAACATCAGAATGTCGTTGTCGATGAACGTTTGTAGTCTGGTGGCAAAAAAACTACAATAAAAGATTTGTTGAAGGCCATGCAAGCTAGGTATGAAAAACATTCTACCAATACAAAGATACTTCTATGGATGAGGTATTTCAATATCCACATGGAGGAAGGAACCTCGGTGAATTCCTAAATTAATGAACTCACCGATATCTTGAACAAGTTAGAAGGGATGGGTGTCAAGATTGACGAGGAGGTGAAAGCTATGAGGTTGTTGACGTCTTTACCTGACAGTTGGGAGACGATGAAGACCGCAGTGTCGAATTTGCTAGGGAAAATAGCTTGAAATTTACAGCTATTTGTGATGCTGCCATTTTGAGGAAGCCTGGAGAAAATTAGGGAAAATGTCTGCATCAACTTCAGGAGCAGAAAACAGGATTGAATTAGCTTTGGTAGCTCAGAACAAAGGGAAGGCAAAGATGAGTTACAATGGGAAGCAGTAGAGATATAGCAGGGGTAGTGAGAGTTCCAGTGGAGAAGTGGATTGTTTTTACTGCCACAAGAAGGGACACGTGAAACGTTTCTGTAGAAAGTTCAAAGAAGATTGTGAGAAGGGGAGCAATTCTAGAAATGTTGCAACAGAAGAAGAACAGATTGAAGAGTTTATGGCTTGTGTTCAGAGGAACATATCTGTAAACCAATGGGTGGTGGACACTGCAGCATCAACGCACGTTGCTTCAGACAGACGTTGGTTCTTATCTCTTACTGTAGGTGATTATTGTTCAGTGAAAATGGGGAATGAGAGTATCTCCAAGTTGAGAGGAATTGAAGATGTTTGTTTGAAGACAGGCGAAGGGGCCGAGTTGGTGCTACGAGGTGTCAGGTATATTCCTAGCTTCAGATTTAATTTGTTATCCGTAGGAAAGCTAGATGACGATGGCTACAGTAGTGAGTTTAGTGGGGGTTGCTGGAAGCTCAAGAGAGAATCCATGGTGGTGGCAACAGGTCACAAGAGATCTTCTGTTTATGTGTCAGAGTTTGGGGTTGCCAAGGGTTCATTGAGACAGACTATGCACAAAGTAGCTGCAGATGGTTTAGGGTGAGACCTTAGAGGACCAGCAGCATTGATGGCCAGAACAGATCAGAAGAATCTGCCATCAGCTCAAGTAAAACAGTTGAGAAGTACAGAAAAGGGAAACGGGAATTTGATAGGCCATCGAGTTCATTCCTCAGTTGTCAGACGTTCAGGCGAGCTGGTGAAGTCGCATAGGCGAATTAGTGCATTGAAGGGTATGAGTTCTATTTCTAGTGTGGCGAAAGACTTGGCTGGGAGCGCCAAGTCATCAAGGGAATATTCCTTTAGAGGTCATTGGGTTCAATCGAGAAAGGAAGCGACGAGGACCACTTAGGTCAAGTGGGAGTACATGGCTATGTCTCTAAGTCTGAGGGACAAGACCACGTAGAGCTGTCCAGTCTCGGGGCATTGTCAGACAATGCTTGGGTAGGGCCAAGTAGTGTTGATCAGTTCGTTAATAGAGGAGTCAAAACTGTGCCTTGACGGAGGGTTTCAAGAAGTCGATGGGACACTGTTGATGCAGTTGGAGGCAGAGAAGTGTCGCTTTGTCTCCAAGTGGGAGATTGTTTGGATTGGTGGAGTTAAAACGACGTCGGATCGAGCTAGGGAAGAGTCGGGATCGAGCAAGGATGCTTCGTGGTTGAAGTGGGGATGAAAAACAGGAAAGCGGAGCGCTGCAGGCCATTCGGGCCGAGGAGGCAGCGCCGTGGCGCTGTCCAGATGGGGGCGCAGCACGGACTTTTGTTCATAATGCCATGGCGCTGTGTCAACTTTATAAATAGCAGTTTTTCACTTTTAAGGTTTATCCCAACCGTCTTTGAGCCGTTTTTTAGAGAGTTTCATGGCAGATTGAAGGGGATGGCTCGGACATTGGTAAAGGCATTTGGATCGATCAAGATCAATGTATTCGGGGTAATTAGATCTTGATTCTATGAGTTTTTCATTCCTGTTCCTAAGTATTAATTGTGTAAAATACTTAGAAGCTAGGGGGCTTTTGTTTAGACCTGTAGGGGATATTTTGGGGAGAGTTATTGTATCCAATCCTGAACTATATTAGTGAATTACCCACATCTGAGTGAAAGACTGGACGTAGCCCTCAGTGGTAAATCAGTATAATTTGCTGTGTCGTATTCTTGTTCTTTACTGTTTTCGTCATATTTGCATATTATCGGTTGTATTGGATATTTTCTGTGAAAGGAGAAATTATTTAGGTCAATCAATTTCCCAACAGATGTGACATCTAAAGCTAGCGCAACATTCAAATCGTTGCGTACAAAGAAACATGGTTGAACCCCAAGCACGTGACATAGAAAGAAATGAAGTCACATTAATGAGACATTGTTCGAATAAAGCTAAAGTGAAAATGCTTATGCGAGTAGCAACAACCACGAATGGAGACGCTCAAAAGGAAACCAGGTTGCATTCGATCACTCAAACCTCTCCCATCTTTCAAAAAAAGAGAGAGTTGTGACAAATAGATGTAAGAATCCGAGTTTTCATTAAGTTAACTATAAAAGAGATAATTACAAGTTCCATGTGGGCATACATTAACTAGCTAAGGCATGTATTCTCGACCAAGAGGTCGTGAGATTGGCTTAACAAGGAGAGGACAGAAGAGCCAGAACCCCCTCCATTAGTGTGAGTGGAGCCATGTGGTCATGGATTATTTTCTCACAAACAACGTCAATTTTTAATGCCAATTTCTAGACAAGTGTTACGTAAGGTACCACGAAGAAGCCATATATGTCTTCATCTCCTAGTTCTGGTTACCTGCAAACAAAAATTTAGCACCGGTGTGATGCTTTGCCGAATACACTCCGATGCCTAAATTAAAACTTAAGATGAGAGAAAATGTGTGTACGGAGCAATAGAGTAGAGTAGTAATCTCGAGAAAGAAAGTCTACTTCAGAGTTTGTGTCAAATTCTTACAAGGAGTTATATAAGGAAAATCGACTTACTAGCGACGTCCTTGGTGACTCTCTAGAGTGTTTGCCCTTTGGGTATAGGTTTTAAGCAGCTGGCTATATCTTGCACGAATTGCTCATGTGCAGTCGGCCCCTAAAATGGGTGTGCTCAAAATTGGGTTCGGTTTGCTCGGTCTTTGCTTGGTTTCCACTAACTCAATCCATGTGGTTCAATTGGAGCTTGAACACGTGGCACCTTAGATTATCCAATAAATATTTTCAATTTCTGACCTTTCAAATTGAAAGCAAAAAGTATTATTGGCACACCTACATATGCATCCTTATCTTCTTTTTTTTTCTTTTAATTTTATGGACCCCTATGGTTTTTATCATTGGGGTTTCTAAACAAAAAGTAGCATTTTCGATATTATAAATACCATAAACTCGAAGAAAGATAGGCAGCAAAGGTTTGCATATTAGTCGGTCTCCTTAGAGAGTAAAGATTTTGGCACTTTACTCTACTCTTCTTTTTCTTTTCTTTCTCTCTCTGTTTGGGTATTAATATTTCTATTTCTCATACTTCAGATAATATACTTTCTTATTCTCTACTTCCTTATTCTTTTTATAAATAATCCTCAAGTTATAATTTATACGTTTTAAGAATAAAAATTTTACCTGTTTTCTTTTGTTACATGATTCTAATTTTCCTTAGTGTTAATAAAATTTATACTTGTATTACTATTATTCAGCTCATTAAAATTTTGAAGGTTTTTTTTTCTTTTTTCAAAGCATAGATTATAATTAAGATAAAATTTTCCTTCCCTTTTCTAATTTGGAAATATGGATAGCAAGTGGATAAAAAAGTAGTTATCCAAATAGACATATATTCTTTTAGTTTTCTCTCTCTTTTTTTTGGATAACCCGAAATCAATGTCCCCAACATTGTATCCGATGTTGCGCATGGACATACATTTTTGTGTCTTTTCCTAAAAATATAATAAGTAATAATGAAAATGTTAACATATATTCTTTTTTTAGTTAAGTATTTATGACAAATATTTATCGATAGAATTATAGTGATAAAATACAATGTCTTTTCTCTCGTTCCTTCCTCTTTTCAGCAACTGAATGAAAAATGGGGTTACCAAATAGAATTATATTATTCAAAAATACAGAAAACAAGAAATATTACCCAAAAAAATAACAAAAAATTAACATGTGCTTTTTTTTTCTTCTAGAGAGATCGGAAGATGGCATCCAACGTGTTTGGCAATCCAATCACAAATCAAACTCTAGAAGCTATGCCTAAATATGAAGGGAAGACAATAACGCGTCTGGATAGGGCAACTGAGGCAATTAATATGAAAAATGATGGAGGGAAAGACAAAGATGTTCGAGCATATGTAGATTCATTGAAACAAAAATGGGGAACTGGAGTCTCTACTCTTTGCCTATTTTACAATGCCACTGGTGATCCGATAACATTTATCTGCGATCACAATTGGCATGGTCATATTGGACCTGATCCTTATCCACTTAAGATTGCAAATGGTCAATGGGGTGGTTTCCTTCATGTCAAAACCTCTGGAGTTGCCACTGGCTCTTCTGCAGCGGTTGTATATCGTGGTCAGAACAATAATGATATTCATTGTGATTGGATGGCAGCTTGGTCAAATCCCTGGAATCGTACATTTTGGAGCAATACGGTCAGCCATTTTTCTTGTCCTTACCTGCGCTTATACAAAGTTTCAACTAAAAAAATTTTGGATTTTCTTCCTTTCAATTTCATTTTAGTCCTTAGCTTTCTTTTATTTTAAAATATTTATTTTAGTCCTTTAATTTTTAAGATTTAGAATTAATTTCTCCAAAATTTAGTTAATGAGGTGAAATAAATCATTAGCATAATTCTTTCTTTTCTTTCCTTTTATATTTTTTTAAAATATTCACTTATTGTGTTTTTGTGGTAGGCATTTACCGAGATTCGAGAAGAAGGGCATTATGATACGCAAGACAATTGGGACTACATCTCTAACTTAGTATACGAGTCGGGTCTTAGCAAAATATACGAGTGGAATGGATGCAAATCGAGTGTCATAACAGGAAATTCTACTAGTCCCGAGTTCGAGACAATATTCACTCTCAGTGGAGTCACGTTTTAAATGATTTATATAAGTACCATAATTTATGTACGGCCTAAATCCAACTACTTCTAAATAATGGCCATTTGAGCTTTAATCCTTTAAAAGTTTCTGCAAATTGGATTGTGCATCAAGGTGTTTGTTGTGCTCTGTGCAATACGAGTGTCTATACAATATTTATATGATATATATCTAATATATTACTGATATGAGTAAAAAATTTTGCTATATTTGAAAATTTAAAAAAACGGATGACATATTTTGAAATACACAAAAAAAAAATTTGCTATCCATTGCAATTTCCTTTTTTTTATGCCAATATAGTTAGTATTAAGTACAAATTTAATGATAAGCTTTCCTATTCCAATGCATATATGTTACAAACGTTTTAGTTTCAAACATCATCAAATTCTTAGCCTACAAATATATTTATAATGCGTTAAACATATATACTTACCTTATTACCTTATCATTCTAAATGAATTTTGCTAATTACTCTTAAATTATCAATCACCATTCACTAAATTTGTCACCACTCTATTTCTTCCTTATCTTTTCTACTAAGTAGTACTTGAGTTTCTGAAAAATCTACCGTGGTCAAAATCTTCTACCAAGTCTCGGATAGGTTTCTTACCATTTTGTATGTACAATGTAATAGAGATGCATTATTAGTGTGTGTTTTGAAGTTATTTTAGCATGGTAAAAATATTTTTGCCTTGTCAAAATTACTTTCTTTTTAATGGGTCATGTTTCACAAATTAAAAATTGGTTTTAGGAAAACTTAAAATAACTTTTAATTGAGTTTTAAGGTATCACAAGATTATTTTGGAAATCAATTATACTTAAGTCATTTTTTTTTTTCAAAATCACTAATTCTACCATCACTTCCAAATACACCCTTAGTTTTATTACTAAATTGGGTAGCATTTTTGTGCAGCATTTTAGATATTTAGGAAACCCATTATTCTCTCAAAATTATTTAGTTCATGGTATTTTTCATTTTTTTTAGTACATGTGGGAGTGGGGATTCAAACTCACACCTTCTTAGTTAAAGATATATGTCAATTATGATTGAGGTATGCTAGTTTTGGTACTTAGTTCATGGTTAGTTAGACAATAAATTCAACACAGTTTAGTATTGTCCACGTAATAATCACGCCCTAATTTCAATAGAGTAATTTTGGTAGATCATGCCACTTCTATCAGCTGAACGGTGAGTTTACACTAATAAAAATTTCACTTTTTTTCTTTGAACTATCATTTTTTCAATACCTTTATTTTTCTTTTCAAATTATGTTAAAATTACAAGGATATGTACAAAAAGGCTTTCAAGTGTCATTAATCTTACAAATGCTATTTTTATTGAGTATTATTTATTGCACTCGTTACAAATGCTAATTCGAGCATAATTCAGTGAATAAAACATCTATTATTATCTCAAACATCAATGATTGAATCTCCTACTATGTTACAAAGTTTCTTAATTGTGAAGGACAACGACCGTCCACATAATTCCATAGTGTTGTGATATTGTCCATTTTGAACATAAGTTTTCATGGTTTTGTTTTTTTGTTTTCACCTAGAACACCTCGTACCAAAAGTTATAACGTTCCTCACTTATATATTCATGATCTTCCTCCTATACAGCTAACGTGGGATCTTGGTCGCATTCACAACTCTTTAAATCACGCCTAAAATATATTCTTCTGCGTTAATTCACAACCTATACAGAAAAGAGGTCCCCATATCTCTTTAAATCACGCAAAAGCTATTTCTTCACAATTGCATTATTGTTGTGCTCATTGATAATATGTCTTTGGATTATGTTGGATTTAAAGGTTGGTCCGTTCTCCACTAGTAAAATTTTTATCACTTTTTTTTAAACTTTAATTTTTGTAATATTTTATCACAATTTATGATGATGGATTTAAAAATTTTTTTTTTTTTGGAAAAAAATTGATATTATATTAGCAAGTCTTGATTATTGAATATTTATAGAGAGCGACGAATTTTTGTGAAGAAATAATGGTGGACACCATTTCTTATTCCGATAAGATAATGCAAACACTAGTCGTCATTATTGAGCAAGCGTTGGTACACTTTAAGACTCTAATTAACCATAACAACATTTGTGTGATTAAGAAGAGTGGGAGTATAACTTTTTCTAAAACAAATCATTGTAAATCTAGCATAATTGTACAAAATATTAGAAAAATTGTAGTTAAGAAAAGTAATTAAGATTATATTGACGATGTACAATCTATTTATTTAGTCGATTATACAAATGACATGTCGATTGTTATTAAGTACCAACATTAATGTAGATAAGTAGAGTTGATTGTACAAACACTAGTGTGGGTGGGAAGAATCAATTTTTTTCTATTCTTTTGGAAGGAAAACATCAAAACCTAATGCCCTAAGTGAAAAAGGAAAGAAAGAAAGAAAAAAAAAACTTGTCAATGTCGTTATTAATTAGTGGCTTGTTGCCACGTGTAAGTGTGGACCAAGAAAAAGTTCGAAATCTTTTTTGTTTTGTTTTTTTCCCCTTCATAAATTGTGCACCTACCAATAAAGCTAAAACGTGCTAAAATTATCGCTCCATAAATTAATTTATTTTTTTTTCTTGCTTTGTTGTCCCGTCCTTATCCTTACATGGAAAAGATAAGAAATGGAACAAAGATTTTTAACGTAAGTTAGTTACTCCTCTCGTTACAAATTGATTTTGAGAGGGAAACTCATAAATATCGGTAACATTCAAAAATCACACTTCAATACTATTTTTAATTATTCTGGATTGTTTGAATTTTCTTGCTCAAAATTTTCACAATTCTTTCCATATATAATCTTATATAAATTGGAGGGTTGTTCTACCAAAAAATAAAATAAAAAATGATTGTCTTCCACCAATAATGTTTCCATAACTTCTTCCACCTACCATTTTTGTGATAATTAATTTATCTCATTTATCGTTGAATTAGAAGTATTTATCCCATAGGAAATGACTAAAATATTCTTAACCATACAAATTTTTATTATTAAGCCGTAATTATAACACTATTATGATCCACCAAAATTTTTAGGATAATTGTAATTGGTAGCAAAAAATATTTTATGTATTTTAGAGAATGTCACCAGTTTCCCAAATTTTCAAATATAGCAAAGTGTTTGAATTTTTATTTTCGGAATTTTTATTACTCCAATTTTACCCTTATGATATCTGATATACATTCAATCTATATCTGATGTATAGTTGTATCTGATATACATCCAATCTATATATAATATATATTCGATGTATATTTGTATCTGATGTACATTCAATCTATATCTGATGTACATCCGATGTACCTCTGATATACTTTCGATATACATCTAATGTAACCCTGATGTACTCCTGAATCTAGTCAATATTAGGGTATTCATTAAAACAATTTAAACTTGTAATCAAGTTAAAATTCCTCAATCCAAATCTTACAAAGTTCCTATTTAGATTGAAAATTAGTACATCTCGTGGGCTCTTTTCAGATATTCGGCGAATTAGATGCACTAATAACTGTAGTGGACATCTCCTAACATTAAATGGAAAAAAAGTGTCCAAATGATCAATTTCTAAATATTTCTATTTGTGTTGGTGCTAGCATCTTGAGAATGTTATCTATTTATTATAATTTTGAATATTGTTGCACTTTTGCATTAAAATACCATATTTCATTCTGTTGTTAAAGTAAAATCAATATTATATTAGATGAAATCAGACTATCACATCAATGGTATATCAAACAATCATTTCAGTAGTATATCAAACACTCATATCACTAATATATCGTCAGATGCTCATATAAATAGTATATCGCATGTATATCAGATATACATATCGATAGTATATCACATACTCATATCGATAGTATATCATAGTATATCACATACTCATATCGGTAGTATATCACATTTATATCAAATGGAAATAAGAGGGAATCGAAATGTAGGGTTTTCTAGGCTTGGGTTTGGGCTTGTATGGTAGTGTTGTCATTTAACATGTGAGCCTTAGTTTTTTCTTTTTTTTTTTTTGAAAAAATACTATTATTTTTGCCGTCCATTCGAAATGTCAAGAGTTATTAATGTCATCAACTTTATTTTATTTGCAATTTCATGTCCTTTTCAATTGAATTGGTGCACAACCTCAAAAAAATAAAAATAAAAATAAAATAAAAAATAAAAAGAAGAAGAAAATACGTAAAAGTAACTATTCTCAAAAACTCATCGCTATTATTATATATCAACAACAAAAAAAATCTTTTTGTTCTATTATTATCAACAACAACAAATGTTTTTCTAGCCTTACATATTCAATTGAGTGGTTGGTTTGTCCATGAAATTCCTTTTTTACTACTATAGTAGATATTATCTTCACTGAATTTAAATTAACTGATGAGGTTTTAATACATTAAGAGTAAATTTTAGGATTTTAAAAGATTAGGAATGGAACTGAAAATTCTGAAAATTATCTAAAATATTATTGATGATTTAAATTTGGTATATTTAGTCTACTCCTTTCATTATTTATAATATTTGATCACAATTAATTATGCAAAAAATTTATAGTTATTTATTTTGGGAGAAAATGTTTCAAATCTCTTTAATCACACCAATAACATTATTAAACGTGTTTCTTTTTTTTATTATTGCAATTTTCCGTTCTTCAGTTGAGTTCACTAATGGAGGAAGCATCAATTCATCGATCTTCGTAGTAGTAATAGATGTTGGTACTCACTTGAACTATGTTCGAATTTACTTATTATTGATAGTTGATATATTTAATAGCAGCAACAGATTAAAGTTTCTATCTATTATTGATATTGAAAATCATATAATAATTTAAACCACAAATTAAAGTTTCTATCTTTTGCTTGATTTCAATCTTGTTACGTACCCTCTACTTTGCCTCAAAAATGGATTTGTCGTTACCATTAACATTTCATTAAATTCTAAACAAAGTATATACTATGATCAAATATTTAAAAAAAGTACGGTAAAAAAAATAAATTATTTAAATTACTTTTTGGTAGACAACCAAACAGTTAACTCAGGTAAGATAATGCTAGTCGTTGTCATTATTTAGTAAGTTCCAGCAGGATTCAAACACTTGAGACTCTAATTAACCATAATAGTATTTGTATGATTAATATTAGCGGAAGTATAACTTTTCTGAA